TGCTGCAGAGGCTGGTTGTGTCCATGCATCCCAGTTACAACTGGGAGGAGTTGGGGGTGAGGCTGTGCTGCCAGAGGGCCAAGGAGCCCTGCACTGGTCTCCGCAGTTTTCCTTCCTCCCTGTGGCACGGTTTGTGCCCCCCATCTCAGCCAGGAGGTATTTTGCATGTGTGTGGGTGATTGGGGTGGCTCCCTCTCGCCTGGAGCATGATGATCTCTGTCTTTCCCCACTGAAGGAGAAGAAGAAGGGCAGGAGGAGGCAGGGAATTGCCAACCTGGCTGGGAAGCCACCGCAGCAGAAGCCAGGCTGGCAAAGCCCGCAGGCACTGGGGAGGGCTCCTTGGAGGGGCGGAAAGCGTCAGCTGGAGAAGAGGACTCGGACAGCACCAGGGACGAGTCACCGGAGGAGGATGGCGAGAGCCCCTGCGAAGCAGAGGCCAAAGAGGACAGGAAGGCAGCTCCTGAGAAAGCCACGATGCCACGGACGCAGCACTTCAAAGGTAGGATGCGGGGCGCCGCGGGGCTGTACCGGGAGCTGCTTGGCCTCTGATTTGTGATCAGGCAGCTCAACCTTGAGACAGGCAGTGAAACGTGGGTCAGGCTGGTGGGACATGGGAGTCCTGTGCCATCCGGCAGCCTCATGTCTCCAGCATGTACCAGTGCGCTGTTCCCCCCTCCCCTGCCCTCTGCCCAAGCAAACATGTCGTCCTTCTCCTGTTGCCTGTCCTCGGCCGCTGCCAGGCTCAGGCAAAAACAGGCAAAAGTCTGCCTGGCTTTGGGGAGCGGAAGCACACGGGCAGGCCAGTGTTGAGCTCAAAAGAGCCCACTTGAACCATGTTGGTGGCTTGGGGTGGGGACAGTCCCTGCAAGTAAACGGCTGCTGTGTGACTGTGTATATGATAAGCTCTCACCCTGGCACAGCTGATTCGGGGAGAGAACATCTGCTCGTGCTCTTCTTCTCCATCTCTTCCCTGCTGACGGCTCCCCCTCCTCTGCTCTCACAGGGGATGTCGCAGAGGGCTCCGAGTACCTCTACAAAACCCACATGTGCCCTGAGTGCAAGCGGTGCTTCAAGAAGCGAACGCACCTGGTGGAGCACCTCCATTTGCACTTCCCTGACCCCAGCCTCCAGTGCCCCAACTGCCACAAGTACTTCACCAGTAAAAGCAAGCTGAAAATCCACATGATGCGGGAGACAGGCGAGAAGGCCCACCGCTGTCCGCTCTGCCACTACAGCTCAGTGGAGAAGAACGCCCTCAACCGCCACATGGCCAGCATGCACGAGGACATTTCCAACTTCTACTCCGATGTTTACTCCTGCCCCGTCTGCGAGGAGAAGTTTCGGCTCAGCCAGGCCCTCAAAGAGCACTTGAAGACTCACAAAACTGAGCCCAAGAGGCTGAGCTGCTTCCAGGGGGGCTGCAACTACTGTGCGGAGGACCGGAAGGAGTTTGTCCGTCACCTCAAGGATGCTCACGGCATTAAGGCGGTGGAGTGCAAGTACCATGCCTGCTCACTGCTCTTTGACACGGCTGAGGCCATGGAGGCTCACCGAAAAACTCACTACGCCTTCCACTGCCAGCAGTGTGACTTCATCTGCTCCAACAAGCATGTTTTCCGCAAGCACAAGAAGCAGGGACACCCAGGCAGTGAGCAGCTCCAGTGCAGCTTCTGCCCCTACGCCACCTTCAACCCCGTGGAGTTTCATGACCATGTGGGGAAGATGCACGCCAACGAGAAGATCCACAAGTGCACTGAGTGCGCCTTCGCCACCGCGCACAAGAGGGTGCTTATCCGGCACATGCTGCTGCACACCGGTGGGTGTCTGCTTTGGGGGTCCTGAGACCCAAGCTGGGACAGGGGGTGGGAGGTCCTGTCCCAGCTCTGGGTGGGCAGGGAGGGATGGGTCAGGGCTCCTGGGTCCCACCACCAGCTCTGCCACCCTGGCATTGCTTGGCTGAAGCCGTGGCATGGCCCCATCCCTGCTGAGCTGGTTTTCCTGTGGGGGAGGCAGGCTGTGCTGCCTCACCTGGCCATCATGCTGAGGGCGTTCCTGTGTTGCCCATAGGAGAGAAGCCTCACAAGTGTGAGCTCTGCGATTTCACGTGCCGGGATGTGAGCTACCTGTCCAAGCACATGCTGACCCACTCCAACGACAAGAACTTCATGTGCACTGAGTGTGGGTACATCACCAAGTGGAAGCACTACCTGAATGTCCACATGCGCAAGCACACTGGAGATCTCCGGTACGACCCCCGGCCCCGCTGGCCTGGCATCATAGTCAGGGCTCCCCAAATCCTGCTCTGGGCGTCTGCCGCTCTGGGCTGCGTCATGTGCCAGACTCTCTCATGCCTGGGGGATGGCTACAATCAGCTCTGTCTGGCACATAAAAAATGCGGTCCTTGAGCTTGCAGGTTGTTGCCAGCATGGTGCTGCAGAAGCAAAGTTATCTTTGGTGTGTCTGCGCTGCAAAGGAGGTGTATTACCACGTCAGTGCAGCTCTGAGCCCAGGTTCATGGGCTCTGCTGGTGTTTCCTGGGCTAAGGCCAGCTTGGGCACGTGCAGGACTCTGCCAAAATGGGTTTTTTACCTCAGTATCATGACCTCCTTTGGGTCTAGTCCACCTCCAGCGACTAGACATGGGGGTGACGTGGTTACTGTGTGGGATACCCCAAGAAGCTACCTCCCATCCCCAGGCTGTGGCTGTAGGTGCCAAGGGCCACAGCAGGGAGGAACTGCCTGGGGTAAGAGCTGCCCAGACAGCAAAGGTCAGAGCTGGCAAACTGAACAGTACCCCTTCCCCATGTGTCCAGGACAGGAAGCAGAGCTCAGTGTGCCTGGCAGGGCTCAGCCTGCCCCGGTTCCTCATGCTGCCTGACCAATCCCACTTTCCCCACAGGTACCAGTGCAACCAGTGCTCGTACCGCTGCCACCGTGCTGACCAGCTGAGCAGCCACAAGCTGCGGCACCAGGGCAAAAGTCTGATCTGTGAGGTGTGCGGCTTCGCCTGCAAGCGCAAGTACGAGCTGCAGAAGCACATGCAGGCGAAGCACTCGCAGAACTACCAGGTGCCTGTCTTCCAGTGCCAGTATTGCACCTACCAGACAAAGTACAAACAGGCCCTGCTATGCAAGCACACCAAGCAGAAGGAGTTTCGCTGCGCCCTCTGCTCCTACTGCACCTTCAGCAACACCAGCCTCTTCTTCCACAAGCGCAAGATTCACGGCTACGTCCCTGGTGACAAGGACTGGCTGGAAAACTACGCCAGCAAGGAGCTGGAGATCAGCTCATCTGAGGCGCTCTTCGGCTACGAGCTTGGCACAGCCCTGCGTGTGGATGCCTGCTCCCCCCTCGCTGGCAAGGAGCAGTGGGCAAAGGCAAAGCCATCCCAGCTGGACTCCCAGGGGAAAGAGGGCTACCAGCGAGCGTTCATGGTGCCTGTCCTCAGGCAGGATGCCGCTCCGCTGCAGAGCAGCAGCGAGGTGGAAGGAGGTGTGGGCGATGGTGAGCAGAACCATCCCACCACTGGCAATGCCCTGGGAGATGACTGCTCACAAGGACACGCTGCAGCAGGCTCGACTGAGCGCGCTGCTTCTGGGGACGTGGCAGAGAGCTGCACATTGCACTTGGAGACACTGAACGTCTCATCTGACCCCCTCCTGGACCATTTGACTGGAGAATCCTGCATGGCGCAGCCAGAGAGCGTGGAAATGCTGTCCTGCAAGGAACCTCCCACAGCCTACGAGATGCTGGGCTCCCGGGGTGACCTTGGCTTGGTGGACAATGACAATACGCTTGAAGACATCCCAGACTTTGAGGAAGAGGAGGCAGATATACAGGAGGATGAGGCGGTGAGGCTGGATGACAGAGTAACAGCAGGAGAGAGCCAGGGAAAAGACTCCCTAAGGCAGGCCACGGGTCACCTCGAGGGGTCGTGCTCGGACCACCACAAGCTGGTGGCAGACACAGAGATGAGAGAGACCAGCCAAGCTGAGCTGCCAGAGGCCTGGCTCAGCGTGCTGAAGACAACTGAGCAGAGCCACCCGCCTGTCCCAGAGGATGTGGCCGCCTCCAATGATGATGCTCGAGGTGGCTCGGAGTCAGTGCTTAAGGCGCTGCGGAAGCAGGACAAGGAGCAAGCGGAGACGCTGGTGCTGGAGGGCAGGGTGCAGATGCTAGTGGTGCAGTCAGAGAGCCAGATCTTTAAGTGCGAGAAGTGCTCGTACATCACGCGGAAGGAAAAGTCTATGTCCCTGCACTCCAAAGCCAGCTGCCAGAGCCGCCGGGCCCCGCTCGTGTGCCATGAGTGCGGCGCCAGCTTTAAACAGCAAAGGGGGCTCAACACCCATCTCCTCAAGAAGTGCCCAGTCCTCCTGAAGAAGAACAAGATCCTCAAACCAGCTGGTCAGGAGCTGCCTGGGCTGTGCCAACCTGCTGACCAGCCTGGTGATAACGGTACGGAAATGGCAGAGAGCGACAAGGGAGGCTCGGAGGAGTCTGGACATGCCGAGACCCTCTGGGAAGTGGAACTGATGCCTGATAAAACGCAAGCAGTAGGCAGTTCCTTGGCTGGGGAGCAGACCTCAGGCTGTCCTGCCCCTGAAAAATCCTTGACAAGTGACAGCATAGAGGTCGCAGAAGAATCTTGCCAGCAAGGGGACGGAGCTGAGCCAGGTGGAGCCAGTTGTCCCCCGCAGCCTGAGAAACCCTTGGAGAAATACCGGCTGGAGGGAGGGAAGCTGCACTGCAACACCTGCTCCTTCGTCTGCTCCCGTGTCTCCACCATCACTTCCCACGTGGAGGACGGGTGCCGGAGCCTGGAGCAGTTGTGGTGCTCCCTGTGCCCTGAGGCCTTCCGCTCCCAGCGGGCCCTCAAGAGCCACCGTGCCGAGAAACATCTTGTGCATTCCAAGGAGGACGGACCTCAAAGCACTGAGCTCCCCGAGGGGGACCCGGCCAGTGTTGAGATGGGCCAGCCCAGTGAGCCCCTGCCAGATGCAGCCCTCCCAAAAGCTGCCCTGCCCAAGAGGAGGCGTTTCTCCTGTCCCACCTGCCCCTTCACCTGCCACCAGGAACGAGCCATGAAGACGCACAAGAAGAGGGGCTGCGTGGCACTGGGCGAGTTTCGCTGTGCCTCCTGCCCCTTCACCTCCAAGGCGGCCAAAGCCCTGCGGCTGCATCGCAAGCTGCACCGCAAGCACTACAGCAAACGACCGCAGCTGCAATGCCACCAGTGCGAGTTCACCTGCAAGCAGGCCCGGTGCTTGTGGCAGCACGTCCGCATCAAGCATGAGGGGGTGAAGCCGCACAAGTGCCGCTACTGCGAGTTCAGCACCACACGGCGCTACCGTCTGGAGGCCCACCAGTCCCTGCACACTGGCGTGGGGCGCATCGCCTGCGGCATCTGCAGCCAGACCTTCGGCACCAACTCCAAGCTGCGCATCCACCGCCTGCGGGTGCACGAGAAGACGCCCACCCACTTCTGCCCGCTCTGCGACTACAGCAGCTACCTGCAGAATGACATCACCCGCCATGTCAACAGCTGCCACCGTGGCGAGCTCAACTTCGGCTGCTCCCGCTGCGAGGCTCGCTTCAGCTCCGAGACAGCCCTCAAGCAGCATGTCCTGCGGCGGCACGAGGAGAAGGTGTCCTACGGTTGCCCGCACTGTGGCTTCGTGTGCCACAGCGAGGCCACGCTCAAGTGCCACGTGCAGAAGCAGCACCCGCATCTGGAATGCAGCACCTGCAAGGAGACCTTCGCCACCCGGGAGGCGCTGGAGGAGCACAAGACACAGCATTTTAGCCACCGCTGTGAGCTGTGCAGCTTTGCAGCCAAGGAGCGGCAGCCGCCGGCGGGGGCATATGTGGGGGGGC